TATATATATATATAAAATCTGCGGTGCCAACCCTGGACAAAAGAGAGTTGAGTTTATTCATCAAGTTGTCAGCTCAAAATTTGAGAGCTCTGCTTTTAAGCCACCATCAAAATGTAATTTTAGTGCTAAATTTATAGATCACAAAAAATAGAGGGATTATTTGTGCTGACTGATGCTTTACAAGTTATTTTCAAATAGTCTTTCAATGTAAAAAAATAAAATAATGGCTTCCAAGCAGTTTGGCTTAACACAGTTTCACTAATAGGTATGTTAAACCTGGCCCTAAGGGCCGACTTTATGCTGTAACTGCAGGTGTCTGGCCTACTTAGTGGTAGGGGTCAGAGGTCATGGAGTCAGTGGTCTACACAGGAAAGGCTACTCATGCAGAACAACACATTGTAAACAAACCATTAAACACCATCTGCAGCGGCGTCAAATGCCCAGGAGTGTTGTTTGTGGGAATGTTTGTGTAGTCGTGTGTGCTAGTAGCTCTGTGACACCTTCCCACCTCCACCCCACCCTGCAGACACACAAGGATCAACACAACCAAACGGAGACAAAGAGGTGACCATCTGTTACCTACTGATGCATTAAATCACCTGCTGAAAGGTTGCATCGGTTTCCAAATGCACGTTTGTTTCTGAATGTTGCTGTTCATTTAGACTCTGGAAACATTTGGACATTTGAACATTTAATGGTATTTTAGCAGTTCACTCAAACACTTTGAGGTCCTGGGTTTATAATAACTATAAGCTTTAAGTGCAGACTTTTAGTTTTGGTTTGAGGGAGTTTGCTTAGAAAAGGAGGAAGCATCTGGGAGATTTAAATTTTAGGTAAATTGATTAGTCTGGTTTTAAAAGAAGAAATGTCTTCATAAATGTTCCTTTGTTGTTTCTCCGTGAAAATTACTCTCCTAGTTATTTCCACATCTGTTCATTTACAATATAAAGCTTGATGCATCATTACCTTGACAACTGATTGCCATGTACGTAGACACCAGACAACTCATTTTGTGTTTAAACATCATCCATCTTGCTCGTCTTCCACCCTATTCTGGCTTTTTTTTTTCCCTCTACAGATTTCCCTCCCTCAGCTTTGACCTTTTCACTCTGTCAACCTGTCCACAACTCCCTCTCTAATCCCCCCTCTTGTTTTCTCTGACAGCATCACATCCCCTCTGTGTCACCGCTTGATACCCCACATCCACCCTCCCTCCACCTGTCTTTCCCCTCCCCGCATGACTCTTCCACGCAGGCAGTCGGCCTCTCTGGCAGTGCCCACCGGTCTAACACCTGCCACTCGGAACACACACTGAGAGCGTGTTTGTGTGGCTGTTTGTCTGTGCCTGTGAGTGTTTGCTGAAAGGTCACGCAAAGTTGTTGGGCGTGTTGGTCGCGCATGCGTCGCTTGAGTGAAAGTGTCAGTTTGTTTCACTGTCTGAGCCTCACCAACTGTCCGACACGTGGATTACAGTCAGATTTAGGCTACTGCATCTCTATTCTGAGTTGCCCAGAAGGAGAAGCCTGTTAATTTAGCTGCTATAAATAGAGAACATCCTCTCGGCAGGTCACTATAAAGCAGGATTCTTGCTTTGAGAGAAGTGAAGAAATCGTATCTATTATCTATTACATCTGTTTTAATCAAATTATTTGCAAATGAAATTATATTATTTTTACAACTTATCAAATAGTTTAAAAAAACAAAAAGACTTTTGCTATTTAGTATGTTAGGTATGTTAGGTATCTAAAAAAACAACTGCAGACTTGCGTGATATTTTTTTTCTCCTGTGGACCATTTTCAGTTCAAATTACTGTCAACTTTTATACTGAAAGAAAACTTTAAAAGATAATTTTCCCAGTTGTTAAACTGAGTCATTAACTGCAACATCTACACTGTTGCTGTAATCAAGTTAGTTTTTTTTTTCTCCCCCCACAACAGATCAAAGTGCTACTGTTTCTACTTCAGTGTTTATGTTACAGGGCCATTTGTGCAGCTACATTTGTATTAAACAGGCACACTTTCTTTTTGTAAATGACTCTAAAATGGTTATTGCCTTCATTATATTCGACATAAATTTCCTGACTCAGGCTGTGGATGCAGTGCCGATTATTTCTGCACAGACTTTGGAGAAAACGTCTTTTGTTTTTGCTTTATCACGCTGTGCAAGTAATGTCAGGCTATTCTTGATGATGCTTAATGGTATGCTTGTTCTGATTGGAGACATTATAAATGCAGGATTTATAGCTGCTAGAGCGGTCTTTACCACTGTGCAGAAATAAATTAGTGTATCCTCCTAAATACATTCTTTAGAATAGGATAACATCTCATTTTAAACCCCAGTGCATCCAAGTATTTAATATGAGGTCCTTTATATATATAT